ATGATAGGCACCTTTAAGGACAAACTTCCTGGTTTCCTCGATGAGTTTAACTGGCAGCGACTGTTTCCAGGATACCGCTTTGAAAATATGTTGCGGCATGTCGCGGAGCTTTATCCTGTGAACTAAGGATACTTGCGGGAATTCAACAGACAAACGGCTCCTTTAGGAGCCACCAATTAAAATAAAAGTTTTTTATCAATGCATTTTAGTATGTTATTGTCGTCCCTAAACTGAATTAAATAGTCTCTCTTCTTTCTTTCTTCGGGACATCGAAACCTGCGATTTAACGGAGGTAACAATGATGCGAGAATCAGGGTACACATTGAGTAACCATACATGAGAGACAAAATAAAAAAGTTCGCAATGCACTGTTGGGCGATTTCGATGTTTTGATCTAAGCGGACCAAGTGGATTTAAGTGTATTCAAGTGGATTAAGGGATTGAAGGACAAGTGTTTACCGGTGTTTATGAAACCAGGTTATTTGCACGAGTTTAGTCTATTAGAAAATAGACTGTCGGCCGCCAGTCGGCCGACAGGTTTTTCGGGGAGCTATTATTGAAATTTTACCGCCGAAAGAATCTGGTAGGGAAGTTTCCATGTAACCCTCTTTTATATGGCCTGTGGTTGAGAGCGTATGGATAGTAAACAATTAGTCGTCAACAACTGTTTGTGTTTCGATGCCTAAGTTTTAGTTGTTGACAACTAGGTAGTGTCCCTTTTCAAAAACAGAAATAATTGCCAAGGTTTTGAGAATATTTTTTATGTCTACTTCTTGTGTACTGCAAGTTGTATCTTACACACTCTTTTCTAATCAACAACAAATGCTCTAGTCTGTGCAATGAGTGCACTAGACAGAATAAGTTGTCAATGGCATTTGCAGCCCTGAATTAGTTTTTTGGAAACTTGATGTCTTATTAGTATGGCTCTAGAATTGTCTAAGGGTATGTAAACTGAGGGATTCAAGTGAAAGTGGATGAAAACATGCATTTGCAGCACAATATTTTCAATTAAGTAATTACACAACCAATCACCCCTATGACCAGTGTTGTTATTACTATTCCTGTTCATCGTATCACCAATGAATAATTAGTTGTTTCAAAAGTTAAAGAAAGAAACAACTATTTAGTTCAGAAGCACTTCTTGAGATGATCAAAGCAGCAGAGTAAGTTCAATAGAGCACCCAATACTCAAGGCCTTTTGAATTTTTCTTGGGCTGTGTGAAATGGGACTCAAGCGAACGTTAAAGGATAGATATATAGCTGTTTCAGCCATGTGGTCAACTTGTTTTTGGAATCATTTAATCCTCCAAAACACAGTATTTTACAAATCTTAGCTTAACTACTAACAGGAACCTGATACAGTTTCTTTGCCAAAAATATAGTAAACCTGAGTCAAGCTTTCTCGCCAGGTAATGTGTTGATGACCTGGCCTAAATACTCAATGTAACCATGTTGTAGTTTAGAAACTATTACATCCTTAGCTCACCCCTAATGGACATATTTGGTCCAGAGTGTTCATTTGGTTGATATATGGGGTGTCTTCTGCTGATATATGTAGGTTGATATGACTTTTTTTGTGTGTGCCAATTAATTACATCTTGTGTTCCTCAGGAATGGCTTCTCTCCAGGATGAATCTGATATGATAAAAAAGACAGCTGTGGTCTTAGAAGAGGAATTTGTTTTGAGAGGGAAAGAAACAGATGAAGTGTTCTTGCCAACTCTACACATTGATCCAGGTCCAGAGCTGCGTCGAGAAATCTTTTTTACCAAAAAAATGACACCAGACGATATTAAAGAGATGTTGAAGAAAACCTTCCCTATTCTTGCTGACACTGAAAGGTAATATTTCAACAATTGAAGCTTCTCTGAAGAAAAATTTGACATTTAAATTTTGATTTGTTTCTAAATGAATATTTCAAAGAATAGCACATTTTTTAAATTGTACTAAATTCCTAAATGTAATTCAATAACTATTAATGTATTCAATTCAACAAATTTTTACAAGAAGATTTACTACAAAAATTAAAGTAAAAAAGCAATGATATACTTTCAACTGTTCAACAGTCATTTACAGGTTGAAAAGTAAAAATAAAGCTAGCATGTTCTGAAATATATACAATCCATTGTAAGAATGCTCATAAGTCACTGACAAATGCTCTAAAATATTTACATAGGAACAATACAAAAAAATTACATTTTGTTCATCCTCAATTGGAGGCAGTTTATGTTCTTTGGGGTTGAATTGTCCTTTGATCTTCTGACTATATGTATGTAGGCTGAGCAGCAGCATCAATCTTTTGACTGAGATCACCAAGTTGGTGTCTTACAACATTTGCTGTTTTCTGGTCTTTACACTAGTGGTAAGACAATTCTGATGGGAGCATCCTGTTCATTGGATAATTTTTTACAGAACATTCATTCTCAGTAACTGTCAACTTTCAATTGTGAATCAACAAAACGTAGTTTATTAATTTAAGTGTGGTCTATGTGGTGCAGACTATATCAGCTTAAACTACATCAATGTTTGGAGTAACACAAGCGATCAACAGTCGGCAACTACACAAAGGATAAGCATGGAAAGGATCTGCAGACCATTGCAAGCAATTTCAAGATTTTGAAAGAAATGTTAGAGACACTTGACTGTTTGATTTTTCAAATATTTTTTATTCATAAACTGATAAACTAAAACTGGACAAACAAAGTGACGTGATATGTGCAGAGCTGTTCAATTATTTCACTGTAATATTGTTTCTATTGCCTTATTAATGTTTCTTTTATCATTCATGTTGTAATTTTTTGTATCTAATAATATTTCAGAGTTTTTTTCAGTATCTCAGCATTCTTACAATCAATCGTATATATTTAGGTGCATGCTAAAAGTTTTTCTACTTTTCAACCTGAAAATGTCAATGAATGGTCAAAACATCATTGTTTTTGGAACATTAATTAATGGTTGTCAGACCATCCAACAATTTCTACTTTGTCCAAACATTTCCCAGACTTCTCTCTAGCTTTTTGTTTGGTTTATTAAAATAAAATTTTGGAAGCAAGCTGGCAAGTAGCAATAGTAGAACCGAACAAAGCTTTTTCAATATGCCAAGCACCACATAATTATTATGTTATCATAACATGAGCAAAGATGAAAATCCTCAAAGAGAAACTAAATGGACTGTCCAAGTTTTTGAGGTTTTTGCACCCAGTTACCTGTAGATTGTAAGCTTACAAGTAAGTGCGGTAACAAAACTCAAATACAGCCAACACTTACTATATAGTATTTACATATTATAGTTTCATGTTTAAAACCAAAGCAGAACAAAATAGGAATGATGAAAAATATAACCAAACTGGCATAACTGTTAAAGTTCAATCATATAAATCATGATGGTTTCAGAGGGACTGCAATCATGCTGAGGTCCATCATGGCTAGCTCATCATGGTGATCTCCAGTCATTGCAGGGAACCATGCAAGCCTCAGAAATTACATAAGCCTTTCAAGTGAACAACTAAGAGCTTAATCTGATATTCTTTCCAATGCTTTGAGGGGAAGGCCACATCAGTCACAGAAGCCCAGTTTTATGGCACTGTCATCCCAAATAATCTTGGTGTTCTTGTGGATTCGGGTGTGGTTCATTCATAAAACATACACCTTGATCAGTTTGTTTACTAATCATCATGTAAATAAACTTGCATGTTTTATGAGAAACAATTTAGCTGAATTTCTTTGAACATTTCACTTTCAGATTCTATTCAGGCAAAGGTGTTAAATTCGACCTGCCAAACTAATTCAGTTTGTGAACTATAATAATGCAGATTAGTAACTTTGGTGGTTTGTGAACTTTGATGGTTTTGCATTACTGACAGCTTTGGTTTTATTAAACCATCAGATTATTTGAACTTTTGTAACAAGGATTCTGATTGGCTGGTTTAGCTTGTCGTATGAGAGTATAGAACATGCTGACATCGCTTATGTTCACTTTGAAAATTAAAATTTGTTTGAAAATTGTTATGGGTGGGGAATTTGACAGATTCTCTATTTTAAAAAAAATTAAGCCTTGACAGTGCTCTGTTCTATTGTGAATTAAGCACTTAAGGAGTGCATGCTTTAAAACACAGAAGAACACATTCATTGCTTCTTCATATGTTAGTATTGTTCTTACTGGTCAGTGAGACACATGTGGGTAAAATGTGGGTAGGACTTGAAACATCAGCAACAGAATCCATTGTTGTCTTTTACTTTTTTGTCTACTTCCATATGTAGATTTTATTGTGCAAAAGCGGTATTTTTGAAAGAAAAACTGTACTCCCAGGAAGAGCGCCAAAAAAAACTGGACTTCTGTGGAGAGCGCCGTATTTGGAGTGGAAAAGTCCTAAACAAAGAGATAAGGAAAAACAGTTTATTGTACATCTGCTGTGAGGTTTGTATTCCTCAAACAGTCTAACTCATCACAAAGGTTTTTATGCTCAAGCAGATAAATTTGCTATATCTTTCATACTCTTCAAGGTGGCTTCATGTCATTTTTTTTGTTATCATTTTGCCAGTTTATGTGATTTTGCTGGTATTGAATAGTTAGTAACTTACATTCTTTACCTTTTCTGCATACCTTAAACGTCATTGTGATTGGTCAATAAGTATTGTAATTGTAGGCATTTATCGCATAGATCGAAGTACTAAATCTGACACCAGACCCGTATAATTGTGATTCCAATACGATTTAATCTGATATCTATGGCACGGCATTGCGGACAAAAATACTTGTTTGTTATTTTATAAGACTTGTTGACGATATATAAGAATCCTTCACAGAAATATACAACTTGTTAGGTAAAATATAAGACTTCATGAAGAAATTTACAATTTGTTGGATAAAATATAACACTTGTCGAAGACATATACGACTTGTTGCGTAAAATATAAGACTTCTCGAAAAAAATACAACTTGTTGAGAAAAATACAAGACTTGTCGAAGAAATATATGACTTGTTTAGGAAAATATAACACTTGTTGAAGAAATATACAACTTGTTGCGCAAAATGTAAGCCTTAATAAAAAATATATGACATGTCGAAGGAAATAGGCGACTTTTTGAAGAAATACAACTTGTTGCGCAAAATAAGACTTGCGCAAAAATAATACTTAGCCCACGATTGATCAGTCAGCAGCCTCTCTTTAAAACAGAGGAAACTGGCCCTGGTAGAACTCAAAACGGCAGAGATTGAAGATATCTTCATTATCTAGCGACTAAATACAAGAATGGTTCCGACCCACAATTGGATTATAAAAATAGTAAAAGTTAATAAGTTATATTTTAACTCCTTGCATGTGAGTATTGTTTAACCGTATGTCTTCAAGCGGAATAATGAAATATCAATGCTAGCAAAAACACTGATGTGTCAAACAAGAAATGATTACTTACATGACAAAGGAAAGGCCTTTCTTGTTGAGCGAGGTCGTTCAGCGATAATCCCGCGATGAGTAAGTCATCTGCCAACACGTTCTACTGACTAAGCTCATCTGGTCAGTCTAGGCTCAGTTCAGGTGAACTATCAGAGACTGGAGCCATTCCTGTATTTCACGGCTGACAGGAATGGCTCCGACTCACGGTTTATTAATGTTTTTTGTGTTTTGGCTAAATAATTTTTAAACTCAGATAAAATCGAAAGAGCTTTTAATTAGGTTCTTCTTAACTTGGATATTACAATGCTTGTAAATGAAGCCCTCTTAAATTGATCTGGGGCCATGTAGTTTCTAAATTTTATAATAATAGAGCAACTGTATATCACGTTTCAAAAATTACACAATGTTACATGATGCTGCGACCAATATATTTAATTTACAGCATGCTCTGCTGGAGAAATGAGGCTTGGTTGCAATCAAGGGAGTTTTCTTCGTGGAACACTTACTCTCTGGAAAAATTGTTCACGTGAAATACAAATCCATTCATCGGGCTCCTCATCTATTTTTGCACAGCACCTAAAGGAAGAAAGTGGCAGATTACTTTAATTTTGCTTGGTAATTTTTCAAACTCCACTGGACCAGAAAAGTTCTCCGGCAGAGCATACTGTACAGATCGGTGGCAGCGTTACATTGCACTGTGTGATTTTCGAAACGTGACATGTAGTTACAACATTATTTTAAACCTGAGACACCACATGGCCTTGTATTAATTTATGAGAGCTCCATTCACAAGCATTGTAATGGTCAACTTAAGAAGAACCTAATAGAATAAAAAGCTAATAATAAAAGCTCTTGATTTATCTCAGTTTAAAAATAATTTAGCCAAAAGGGAAGAAAAAAGAAAATCAATAAATGCATAATATGAGTCGGAGCCATTCCTGCCAGCAGTGAAATACAGGAATGGCTCCAGTCTCTGATCGTTCCCCTGAACTGAGCCTAGACTGATCAAATGAGCTTAGTCAGCGGAACTTGTCAGTGGATGACTTAGACATCACTGAATTATCACTGAATGACCTCGCTCAACAAGAAAGGCCTTCCCTTCATCATGTAAGTAACCATTCTTGTTTGACACATCAGTGTTTTCACTAGCATTGATATTTTATTATTCCGCTTGAAGACACATGGTTAAACAATACTCACATGCAAGGAGTTAAGATATAACTTATTAACTTTTACTATTTTTATCATACAATTACAGGTCAGAGCCATTCCTGTATTTAGTCACTAGAGATATCTTCTATCTCTGCCATTTTGAGGTTCTACCAGGGCCAGTTTCCTCTCCTTTAAAGAGAGGCTGCTGACTGATCAATCACGGGCTAAGTATTATTTTTGCGCTAGTCTTATTTTGTGCAACAAGTTGTATTTCTTCAAAAAGTTGCCTATTTCCTTCAACAAGTTGTATATTTTTCATCAAGTCTTACATTTTGCGCAAAAGTTGTATATTTCTTCGACAAGTTTATATTTTCCTAAACAAGTCGTATATTTCTTCGACAAGTCTTATATTTTTCGCAAAAGTCCTATATTTCTTCAAGAAGTCTTATATTTTACGCAACAAGTCGTATATGTCTTCAACAACTGTTATATTTTACCCAACAAATCATAAATTTCTTCAAGAAGTCATATTTTACGTAACAAGTTGTATATTTCTGTGAAGGATTCTTATATATCGGCAACAAGTCTTATATAATATCATACAAGTATTTTTGTCCACAATAGCGCGCCATAGATATCAAACACGTCAAACTAAAACACAAATAAGAAAACCTAGTCTAAGCGACATTACAAGGAGCTAAACTAAAACTGTACAATAATTATTACTTAACAACACAAAGGTCGAGCGCATAAACCCTAACAATAATCGATCAAATAATAAATGAAAACAACAAGGGGAGAGAAAAATACGCTTATCGATTGTCCTCTCTGTATGCCTTATTAATCAGAAGTCGCAAATGGTCGCAGATAACTCTATGGCACAAAACTCACATAGACTCTCCTTTTAGTGACAGTGCACGAGGTCACAATAATATCTCACTAAAACTTAATATTTAACTTAACGACAGTTACAAGTATTTTTCTTTTGAATTAAATTAAAGTGATCACGCTTTGCTGATCAGTCTCTCAGTTATCAGCCAAGTTTTGAAAAATAAACTGTTTTCAACTCTTTTGTGATACATTATTTTGAGAGCTTCTTAATGTACACCTAAAATTAATAGGGAGGATGATAGCCCTAGCAGTGAATGATAAGAATTAATCAGTGGATAACTTTTTTATTAGTACAGTCATAATTTACTTTTTTCATTTGTACAATATATGATGAACCTCCCTTTAACTGGCTGAAATGGAGTCCAGGTTTAAATTATTTCAGAATGGGTTTTCATATAGTTTTCTTTCTTTGAGAAGCATGTTAATTTATTGTTGAACAAAGGATAATACAAATTTAACTAGCTTACAATCATTTCAAGTAAAATTATATTTAATCTTTTAATTTACTCCATAACACTAGTATGCCTATATTCTCCATACTTTTCTCCATACATTTCCATGGTGCTGACAAGGAGAATTCATTTAACAATCAAGCTTAACTTCTCTTGTTGGTGATAATTTCCTTTATTCTCATGACCTTAGGTTTGATTGAGGGATGATTAATTATTTTTGTCAGGGGAAACTACATGCTGGTCACTTTTTGGGTCAAAGGGTTAAAGTACAACATATTAGCAAGCAATGTGCACTTGATTTTAACTGTAATAATAATACTTTATTCAATCAAATCACAAAAATAAAATAATAATTTGAAAGAAAGGGAGACACTAGAGGTTAGCCCTATCGAGGGTGTTTCCAAAATAATCATCTAGTTAAACATCTATTTGAATATACAAAATATAAGAACATTAAGTTGCGATTTAACTATATGCAATACTTACTATAAAAACTATTTACAATATTATACATTAATATTGTAAATGATTTTGTAAGGAATAGTGAATAGTTACAAACTCTGCTCCGAATTTGGACTCTACAGGTTCCACTTTCAGATATCAGGAAGTCAGGGTTTGAACCTGTTGGCTCTCAATTGCAAGGTAATCATGCATGGCAGTTTTAGAGAAGATTTTGTATATTAGTTTTCTTAGAATTTTGCTCTGTTGTCAAGNAATTCTAACTTCGTTTTTATTTGAAGGTGCAAGAGGTTCCACGGCGTGATTATAGACGGAAAGAATTACTAGTTGCCGGACCTATTATTCATATTTCACCATCCCAACCAGTTCAGCTTTTAGCGCCTGCAAGGCTCACAATCCCCGTTACACTTCGGGGAGACACACCGAAATTTCCAGATTATTCAGCCACTGACGTCAGGATATTCTGCCGAAGCTCAGAAGAAGATGAAACAGAATGGAATGAAATAACAGAGCAGTTGGAAAGCTTAGCGGTTCTTGCAAATGGGACAGTGACGTTTACAGTTAATCACTTTTCAGAGTAAATATTCTCTTGTGGCCTTTTAAGAAGCCGTGTAAATAAACTACAAAGCGCTTGCGCAGGAAAGGTTGTGGGTAATCAGGGAAAATGCATGCGTATATGAGACTTTGGTGTGCAAAAATATGTCGTCTTCGTTCGAACTACAAAAAGAGACTGAAGATAAAAGAAATGGAAACCAAGCAGAACTAGTAATAAACTATAAAGCTTTCGCGCAGGAAAGGCCGTGGGAATCAGAGAAAAAACACGCGTAGGTGAGACTTTGGCGTGCACAAATATGTCGTCTTCGAACAACAAAAAACAAAAGGGATGGAAAATAAATAAGCAAGCAACCAATCAACGAATATGTAGTTTTCATCAAATCGACCACATTTTTTAATCCGATTTGTCGTCTACAGTAGATATTATAAGACTCTTCCGGGGTGTGAGTTGATAAGTCTATGCGCGGTATTGCTTATTGCTTCCTTACCAAAGAAATCATGTCATTGTGGGACAGCGATTTGTTTTGTCCTCCCTCTAAGGATATCTAGGAGCCACGAGTTCGAATCTCGTCGAAGCCTGCGGCGTCTCGTGAGTCCACAACATTTTGACCATTGTGATGACGAATATCGCTGTCAATACGAGTGCAGACCACGATAAACCACTGCCGATTTGTTAATTCTTTCCTCGATTTTCATCGGCGGCCGGGTCAAATGAAGTTTATTTCATTACAAGTTGTCATAGTAGAGACAAACTGGGCCATTTGTCTCATTCTGAGAATATGTTCACATCAATTTTACTTATTGACTTAAATCCTTTTTCTGGTTTGAATGAAATCATCCTAGACTAATCAGTTAGTTCATGACTCTAGGATGCTTGCATTCTGATTTGTTGATCAGTGATCGAAAAATGTATACTCTTTACTCAGGTGACTCCTCAAAAAGATGTTGTTAAGTTTGTGTCCTTGTCCCATAGGTACTGGCCTTGGATTGACTGGATAAAACAACCCGTTGTTATCCTCAAGGATTTTGTCCTTGATCTCTACAAAAAACTCATGGTAAAAGAAGCTGGATTTTTAGCTCGTGTATGTGATGCATTCAAACCTGGCAACTACTCGCTGACTCTTTGCTGCTTCCCAATCCATCTTAAAGGTCAAGTACATACTGAGGTATGTTCAGCTCATCGCGTTTGTTTTCAAGGGGAAGGAAACTCGCTGAAGCCACTATGTAAAGAAGATCGAATGTTTGTGTCTCTTTCCGAAGCATTTACTGTGACTCAAGAAGGAAATCTAGACAACTTCTTCTTGAGGTTAGTTTATTACTGAATTTTTGCTCAGTCAACCATT